CCCGGCGCCGAGCCCCCCATCCTGCTCACCTCTGGGGGGCCGCCGTGGAGGGCAGCAGGGTGGTGGCGAGGATGGTGGTGAGGTTGCCCGCGGGGGGGAGTGCGGTGCTGTTGGGTGGGGGGGCCCCCCCGTTCGCCCCCATGCTGCTCAGCAGGCTGCCGATGCCCACCCAGAAGGCCATGGCCAGGCCCACCAGCAGTCCGACGACAGCACCCTGTGCCAGCGGAGAGGGAGAGTGCTGACCCCTGGCCGGGCTCGGGGCGCCCCGGCCCCCCGGCACTGCCCCCCGCGGGGTCCGTGCCCCCGGCCGGGCAGGGGACACTCACCGTGGGGTTGGCGCAGGGGAAGAACATGCCCAGGCAGAAGAGCCCCAGGAGCGGGCCCCCCACCATGCCGAAGATGCTGATGGCTGCCTGTGGGGACACAGCCCTCAGCGCCGGCCCCTCGCCCCAGCCCGCAGCCTTTGCCGGCTGCCCGCCGGCTGGGGGCCGGGGCTGGGGGGCCCGCCCCCCCGCCCCTACCTGCAGCACGGGGCCCAGCATGGAGGACACGTAGGCCATCCCCAGGCAGAGCAATCCGTAACCAAGAGCTGGGGACAGGAGCAGGGGGTCACGGTGGCACTGGGGACCCCCCACCGCCAGTGCCAGCCCCCGCCGTGCAGCCCCCCGCTCACCCAGCAGCTTGGAGAGCAGCGTGGCCCGCGACTCCGACAGCCCGGGGCAGTGGGGCCGGACCAGGTCCTCCATCGTCACCGTGGCCAGCGAGTTGAAGGCAGAGGAGATGGTGCTGGGGAGGAGAGGGAGCAGGAGAGGGCTCGGCCGGGACCTCCCCAGCCCCGCCGGCCCCAGGGCCACCCACTCACCTGAGGGACCCGCTGAAGAGGCAGGCGACAAAGAGCCCGGGCAGCCCTGGCAGGTCCTGCAGCACGTCCATCACGAAGTACAGCACCAGCTGGGGCAGGGGGGTCAGCGCCCGTGGGGCCGGCGGGCTGAGGGCAGCGGGGTCCGGCCCCGCAGGCTGCGGGAAGGAGGGGGCCTGGCCACCCACCTGGTCGGAGGAGCTGGGGCGCTGGGCGGGCGCCAGCGGGTGCTCCCGGTTGTAGACGAACATGACGAGGCCCGTCAGGCAGCTGAGGCAGAGGACGATCTGCTGGCAGGGGAAGACGGCGTAGCAGGAGCTGCGGGCGCCGGGCAGGCATCAGAGGTGGGGGGAGCGGCGGGGGGGCCCGTC